ATGCTCAACACTGATGCGCGCTCTTTGCAATCAAAGTGTGATATACTTTGCTATGTTATTTTGTTATACTGTGCTATGTTATGATTCGTTATAATTTTTGTTATGTGTGTTGTATTGCTTTGTGTTGTGACGTGTTGTATTATTATGTTTTATGTGTTATGGTATGCTATGATGTGTTAGAATGTGTTGTGCTATGATATGCTGCCATAATTTTTCTGTTGTGTTATGAAGTGTGATGATGTATTGGGTTTTGTTATATTGTGTTACAATGTGCTGTGTTATTTTATGTTATTATGTGTTGTGTAATATTATCATATATGGTTTTATAATGGGCTACAATGTGTTGTGTTATGATCTATTATAATGTCATGCAATATTTTGTTCTGTTATTTGCTTTATAATGTGGTTGTATAATGTATAACATAACATTACACATTGTAATACAACATAGCAACCAGACCTCACACAATAAACTCAACATTATGATGCAACAAAATACATAATAATTCATTAAAATGCATTTGAATGATTTTGAACAGATTTGAACTCATTAAAAAACACTAGGATGCATTAGAACACATTAGAGCATGTTAAAACACACTACACTGCATTATGTATAATGCATCGGAAACCATGAGAATGCATTAGGACACAATAAAAACCATTAGAATGCATTATAACACATTATAACGCACAAGATCGCTTTAGAAGGCACTAGATCGCATTAGAAGGCACTAGATAGCATTAGAAGGCACTAGATAGCATTAGAAGGCACTAGATCGCATTAGAAGGCACTAGATAGCATTAGAAGGCACTAGATCGCATTAGAAGGCACTAGATCACATTAGAAGGCACTAGATCGCATTAGAAGGCACTAGATAGCACTAGATCGTAATAGAACGCACTTGATTGCATTAGAAGGCACTAGATCGTAATAGAACGATCTAGATCGTAATAGAACACACTAGATTGCATTAGAAGGCACTAGATTGTAATAGAATGCACTAGATCATAATAGAACGCACTAGATCACATTAGAAGGCCCTAAATTGCCTTAAAACGCATTAGTATGCACTAAAATGCTCAAAACCAGATGAGGACGTACATCGAGACAAGCCAGATCACCCAGATGCAGACATACGTCAAGATGTAGGCGGAGAGGTTTCAACTAGTATATCTGACTCCGCTCAACATTTCATCTCTGGTCTGGTTTAGCCATGGGGTGAAGGAAAATGAAACACGGAGCGTGACTGACAAGAAAATATAAACACAAAAGAAATGAAGCATACAAAAGTAAACAAAGAAAAGGGAAAAGTGGGTGCATAAGTGACAGACTTTAGTGTCTTGCCCAAACCAAGAACCCTGAAATAACACAAATTAGCTTGCTTAAAAAGGGGTAAATTGAAGAACCTTGAAAAAAACCATCATTAGCGCAATCATCATAAAAAAATATACTCATTAACTGATTGACTAGCATTTAAATGCAGAGTGAGATTAAATAACATTAACAGAACAACTCAGGTATAAAAAATATTAATTGATTAAGCGAGAGGCACATATTATATATCCATCAGACTTAGGTTAATCACGGACAAAGCTTTGATGGACATCAGCCAAACTAACGCATGTCTCAACTCAACCATTGTTAACACAAACGAGTGGTGACAGAACTCACCAGGTCAACCACTGTGCAAAGCTTCAGAATGCTAGTCGGCCATTAGAACAACACATTGCAAGTTCTCTAACTGTAAAACACCGGGGAGAAAAAAACAAGACATGGGTTATTGCATAAAGAAAACACAAAAAATAAATGCAAAGAAATCGATAAGTTATGACTGAGATAGGGCTAGCTGAAGCCTAAAGGAATTGCATAAATCTTTATTGGCTGAACCAGCAGCATTAAAACATCGGTTAAGACCATTCACTTGAACTAGTTTATTCTATCTCTATTAAAACGCTAAAGCTTAAAAAGAGTATCACTACATTATAAACTAAACTTGGACTACTAGCAAGCGATAAACACATGAGGGCCGGCGCCTGGCACCTACAAAGACAAGCCAGATGCGGATGTACGCCGGGCATGTGCGCCAATAACCTTATTTTAGCTCTGTACGCCGCGTTGTACGCCAGTAGAAGGGCTTGGAGCCTCGTTTACGCTGGATTAATCCGCGGAAAATGGCACCATCCTGGGTATGGCACGACGCACCAGCAACGATGAAATGTCACAAAATGTTGCCATATTTATTTAAAAGCCTTTAGAATGCAAACCTACCAAATCCCTATATTCCAACACTGTGTGTGTCTGTGTGACTACATTCGGCATGTGGTGAGACGTATTCCGACCGTGCTTCAAATTGTACTAATACGTAATTCCGACATCCACGTGTTCAAATTCCGGTCGCTGTGTGAGCTGTATTGGAATATGACATGGCTTTGAATTAGAACACTATGAATATTGAGCACTACTTAATTAGGCTTTTAATTAACAGTTATTAAGCTTTTAGGTAATTAGGAAAATTTTAATTTTTGCACACAGCTTGGAACGAGCTGTGTGTGTCCAATTCAAGTTGTGTCGGAATTAGTTTTTATGTGTCTAAATCCATTTCTCAACTTAATCATCTATTAATTTATTTACCACTTGAAATCAGCAATTACAATTTACAAGTATACTTGAAGGATTTCTAATATATTAACAGACGGATTTAAAAGTCTCAAACCATAATATTCTTTCTACACAAACAGTTTATCACTATTTGGTAGAGCAAGGTCAACTGTCAATTTGACACATTTTTCGATGATCTCATTGGGTGGCATGTACCATCTCTCTTTGGGTCTCAACATTTTCCCGCTAGATGGCCCAGACCTTGTGTTTTGGCAGTAGTTTGACGCGCAAATGTATGACATCACTATTTCAACCATCAACAAACGCATGGAACTAAAACAAAGCTTAATATGAAGGAAAAACTAGAAAGGTGTCGGAATTACCCACGATGTCGGAATATACCGCATTTACCCTAAAAATATAAGAGGAATGCAAGTAAAAGTTTGGAAGTTATGAATTTTTTCATTCATTAAATTATAGTCAAATGGGGTAAGAGTAAAACAGGATCGCAGCCTTCAAGGGGTAAGAAAGGACCAGCAGTGCCAAGTTCAATTTCAATTCATTTATTATTTTATGCATCCTGCAAAGTGCACAGTTAGTGGCAATTATTTACAGCCTAAGCCACCTGCAGCTGCAGTCCTAGACATAATACCATCAAATGGGGTAAAAAGGGACGGCTGGGGTAATAAGGGACAGTCCTCCAACATTTTGTAGAAATGTTGTAGCAGCTAAACTAATTAAAATATTGCAAAACTCAAATTAGTGGTGTAAAATTCAACATTTTTACTATCTATGCAGCATAAAGCAAGTTGAGAAATCTTACATTTATTACATCTAAAAAATCACTGAAAAAAAGTGTAAAAAGTGAGATTTTGGAAAAGTACCCCTGCTAAGGTCTGTAGCAGAAAAAATATTTGTTGTATTGAAAAATTTTACTTACATAAAAGTTGCACACTAGTGTTGGCTTAAAAACATGATTGACAGAATTTGGGGTGGATAGCTAGAGGTCAGCATAGCCCAAGTCCACAGTGCAATTCATATACCTTCCCAAGCGTAACGCAGCCGGGCATCTTCACGGCTTTTGACACATAGCGCCCACCACAACAGTGCCATTCAGTCACAGGCACTGGTTTGCAGCACCGGAGCACAACTGGCTGGAGCGCAACAGCTCTACCGCAACAGGTTACTCCTAACGTAACCCAACCTAATTTGCACCAGTTGCGGTAGGGCCTGTTGCACTCCGGCCAGTTGTGCTCCGGTGCTGTGAAGCAGTGGCTGTGTTGTGCAAAGCAGATATACTGTTAGCTGGAGTTACACACAGCTCATTGATCTGAGGCTATGTGTGGATATAGCATGCTGATGGTTGGTGTTGGGCCCAGGGCCTGAAAAAATAATGGCCACTTCTGCAAGATGAGGTAATAAGGGGCACCCCCCCAGGGTAATAAGGGACACCCCTAAAATTGCATTTACAGTAGAACCTTGTTTGGTAAAGGCTCCAGGTAATGAAAAAAATCAATTAACAACAAAGAATTTTGATTACATTTACCTCGCTCAGTGAAAAAAATTTCACTTAATAAAAAATTACTGAATCAGTCATCACAAAACTGCATAGAATGTCATAGATAGAATTGAGTACTGGGCAACAAAGAATGAAAAGTAATTAACCTGAGCTATTATTTATTTCTCCAAAAAATATGATGGTTGTCACTAAAATATTCCTTCCTGTTTCAGGTACTTTTTTACAATCTTTTTTGTTATAGTGAAATCACTTGACTCGATTAAAATTGTGCAAAATTACAAACCATCCTGTAAGCTTACAGATACAGAAGAAATGCTACATGGCTGCTGATATGAAGCTTGCAGTGGACAAGGTCATTGTCAATGCTCAATGGCATGTCCATGGATACTGTAATATCACATTAATAATACGGTAATGTATGGATAAGATAATATTATATCAATGAAGAAAAACCAAGTAAAAATCCCAGAAAATTTCATTTATTCTACATTTACATCATCTACAACTACAAAGGAAGAGGAGGACTTCAGTGTTCAGAGTACTGTTAGTAATAGATGAGTATACCGTGCATGCTTCAAATGTTTAAAATTGAGTTTAATTTCAAGTGTCCCTTTTTACCCCATTTCCAGATTAATTCAGGAGCCTTTTATATTACGTCTAGCACCTTACAAATAGCATATGAAATTTTTTTGGAGATGCCACATGATAGCCCTTTCAAAAGACCTTTAAAATGAGCCCAAACTTGTTTATGAAATGTTTCATGGTAAGAAGTTATTAACAAAAAATGCTCAAAACTGTCCCTTTTTACCCCGTTTGATGGTAGTTTACCTGATATTGCCTTTATATCACTTAGGTTGGCCAGGGTGCAGAGGGTGCAAGCAGCATTGACAATATATGGGATTTAAGCCAAAAGCATCTCCAACCATTTTCAAAATCGTCACCAGGTTATTTTTAATGAAAAGCCATTTCAGTCGGGTAATGAATAGCGATTTACAAGCCACAAACTTATTTACAAGGTCACATGCACGTATTACCCCAAATAACTAATTTTACCCTAAAACAGTACCATTGTATAGCAACACTAACATTTGTCTTCACTCAAGTCTCATTTGAACATGTGATAATGCAGTCTGACCACTGCCACTCTGATGTGTAGTTGCGGTGGTAGGTTGGCATGTGGCTGCACAGTGGTAGGTTGGCATGTGCAAGCTGGCATGGAATATATCTACTTTTCAAACCATGCCTAAAGCTTTTTTCTCCTGCTATTTTCAGAACCTTGAGATTCCAGCTAGGTGAGTTATCTCCTATAATTGGTAACAAAGCGCACAATTGGACCAGGGCTACATTGAAAGACCAGGGCTGCATTGAAAATTTGTCACTGGAGCTGCAAAATTTCATTCCTAAGTAAGAAAATTCCAATCCTGTCATTCAGGATTGGAATTCTTGAATGACAGGATTCCTGTGTACAAGTCACTGCAAAATGGGGAAAATTCTTACTGTTTCGATGAATATTGTTGCTCTCATAGTGAGCAAAGTGACATATTTCATAACAATGGATGCAAGGCATCACACTGGATGCAAGTGATTAATAACAATCAAATTTTGCAGTGCAGCAGCAGCAGATACCTATCCTTGTGGTTTTAATAGATCAACTTATCATTTGTGAATGGGCATGCAACTGAAAATGTAGGCCGACTTGAGTTCAGACAACTTGATAGAAATTTTGAGAAGATTCAAATATCTTATATTGAGGGCCTTGCTTTTGTGGTGTGATGCATCTAGGTTATTCTAGTTTTTTTTTAAGCTTATATTCAAATTAACTTGTATTTTGTATTCCATGTCCTTTATTTCAGATTTAATCATGAATGATATTGAGCTGAAAAATAAGGGTAATAAATTTTTTGCTGCAAGGAAGTATGATGATGCTGCTAAATGCTACTCAGAAGCAATTGTAAGTATGATTTATTTGTCATCTGGAAGTTTTATACATAGGATGTCAGTGAATGTTTTTGACTGTGGAAAACATGCTATGAAATATTTTGCAGTTGTTCGATAATTAACAAAGCTAAGAAAAATGTAGGGTTTCTGAATAATTCTTGTCATTATAGAGAGTCAAATTCCCTTACACTGCTGTAAAGTTGAAGTCATGCACTAGCCTTGAAATGTCCAGACCTCCGTGGCTGCTAAAATATGTTATACCGTATGTAGATATTGATTGTGTATTTTTTTGGTGCATATGCAAATTTAGTGCCTTGGTTGATTGCGTTTGCTCCTTTGTTATAATTATGTTACTGGAAAGACTACATAAGCATTTTTGACCCTGGATGTTGATATTTCTTCTTTACATCTGACTAGTGCCTTATTTATTCTCTTTTGTATGCAATCCTTTCACATCACTAGCCATCTGTATACACTCATAAATAATGTAGTCATACTTCAAACGGTATACAAATGATTGAATTTATCCATTTTCATCACAGGCCAAAAAGCCTGGAGTATCCATCTACTACACTAACCGAGCTCTGTGTCATCTCAAAAGCCGTCGGTATGACAGAGTTGTCCAAGACTGCAGAGCAGCTCTGGAGATTGACCCCATGCAGGTAACTATGGCTGCAATAATTCTGAGTTTCAAATTGCTTACTTGCTCTAAACTTGAGTATTTTTATGATCTAGGCTCTATAATATCTGCCACGTATACCGTATATATAGGTATATATATTTCATTAAACAAATAAATTTAATATTAAACTACATTACTTTGAAATTTGCCTTCACAGGTAAAGGCACATTTCTTTCTTGGCCAAGCATTGCTGGAAAGTCAGTGCTATGATGAGTCCATTCGCCACTTCCAAAGAGGTGATAAAATTGAGAGTTTATTGATTAAATAGATGTAGCCAGATTAACTTGAATATCATTGTTTGGGAGTTTTATTTGTTAGATATAATTGCAATTGCTGATATTTTGGGCTTTTCAATCATAAAATTCAATGGCATGTTACCTATCCATGTTGATGCAGAGACATTTCCAAACAATTAGTTCTTTTTAAGTTTTACATGCAAATCCCACATAATTATTTTTTCATACTTATTCTTTATTTATATGTTATCATTATGCAAGAAGTGCTTATCTGTTGACATATGTAATTTTTATACCATTTCTAATATTGGACTGTTATTTTCAGCTCAAGACCTGGCAAAGGAACAGAAAGTCAACTATGGTGATGACATTGCATCGCTCATCAGAGTAGCCCGCAAACGTCGCTTTGCTATTGCAGAAGAAGCACGAGTGGCTCAAGAAATTGAACTGCAGGCATGTTGCTACTCTACATATTGTTCTATGCCCTAATACAATATAGCTAATCCATTCTTGACCTCCCAACAAACTGTGGGCTTTCTATCTGTTACTTGTCACTTCTTGGCATGCTGTTTGTTCATTTTGGATAAAGATGTTAGTTGATGAGTTTCATGAAACATGGATATGTTTTTTTGCAGACTTATCTTAACAGGTTGATCATTGAAGACAGAGATAGACAGATAGAAGCAGCGAAAAATCACACCAGCAAGAACTTGATGTCACCATCCTCATCCAAAGTTGCCACAAGCCATAAACCTTTAAGTCACAATAAACCTTTAGTGCCACCACCACATCCACTCTACACACCGCCCGACTGTGACAAAGAAAATCATCAGCCAGGTAAACCAGGTAAGCCGGGTAAAGTCCTATTGAAATCTCATTTGCTGATCACCAGCCATGCATGACGGATTATAATTTTTTGGCTTGAAAATTTCTGGTCAATTAACCCAGGTTTTAGGGGTGAATGTTTATTGAAAGAATTTCATTTTTTTGTTTCAGCCTATATGTGAAACATGAAATCAATTGGAGTCATGAGTTAAAAAAATGTTACATTACAATTTATGTAAATACCTGTCCTCTGGAATGTTGCATTGTTTCTTGAATTTCAGGTTCAAATCCCGTCACTCCTGATGAGATCAGTAGTGGTCATGAGGAGGTTGACCACAAAAAATCGTCTGAATCGCTGGTGAATGGTACATCTGATTCGCACAATGAGGACGTTCATAAAATGTCCTCGTCTGGGGAAGGCCATCCATTCAATGCAGGCGAGAAGTCTCAGGACTTTGAAGGCCAACAGTACCGAAGTCCAGAAGAAATTTCGAAGAAAGCTGTGAGTTGCTAGATGAACATATAGGTAATCTATGGGTTTGATATAAATATTTGATGTGATTGGGCTTTTTGCAAATAAGTGCAGGGAGATGGGTGCTGAGAATAGCGTGAAAAGTAGTCCGCTGATGCAGGCAATCGTCAATTTTTTCTAATAAATAATGGAAATTTGCTGCTCTCTGTAACTCTTCAGTAAATTGGCCAAGAATTATGGTGTTAGAATCGCGCCTTTGTAAATATATATGGTCGGTTTGCTACGACATGCTAAATGAGAATTTGAAAAAAAAAAATTAAATTTGGATTGATTTTCACAAATTCATTTGATCAGCGCAAATTATTTCTTTATTTTGAAACTAATATCATATGGGAGTTTTGGTTTCTATGTGAAATCTGTTTTTAGCAAGATTTTATTCAATTGAAATATGTACATTATTTCATTCATATTTTTTATGGTGAAAGCATTTTAAGTTTGCTGGGATAATTATTCTCGGACAGTGGCGTGCTAACTTGTTAGTAGATGATGATTCTACATATTTCCTAAATAATTCATCAATGATAAATATAGATCTTAATTTTTTATAAGAAAGTACGAAATTTATGGTTCATTGATGACTTAAACAAGTCTTTGTTTTGAAGTTATGTATATTTTGTTATATTATAGAGCGCAAAAATTAATTAAGTGTACTCATTTTTGTTTTCAGTGTTTATATTTTTGTCATTAGCTTACCTAATCAGTTTACATTATACTACTAATGATATTTTAAGGAGTAAGTAATTATCATTAATTCAGGATTTCATTATTTAAATCTAACCTAAAAACGAATTCTTGCACATCACGACTGAGATGAAACATGAATATAATGTTAACTTGCATTTTTTTGTGTTGGCAGGAGGACTATTTAATGGAACTCAATCATATGTTTGCCAAATTGGACGAAAGAAGAAGAGTGAGTATTGTGCTTTTAAAGTACTTTTTAAATGCAATATTCTGTCTTGACTTATAATCAATAAAAAGTATTTCTTGACCGTCTGCTATGATGTGGAATTTACGCTGCTTCCTCCTACAGAAACGAGAGGTGCCTGATTACCTGTGTGGCAAAATAAGTTTTGATATCTTGCGTGAACCTGTGGTCACTCCCAGCGGCATCACCTACGACAGGAAAGACATAGAGGAACATCTGCAGGTAAGCTGCAGATTTAGCCCTTCCCAATAAATTATACCCAGTATGGAGAAATATCAAATGAAAAAAAAAAAAATTTGTAGCGTTAACGGCAAAATATTGATAATTTATTTTAATTTTTAGATTCTCCTACGCTACTGATGCCAATTTTAAATGTGGGTATTGCATCATAAAATTCTCATAAGTTGATCAGCGTTTTCTATAGAATGGTCTATTAAAAAAATTGTTTTCTTGTTACATGGCTTAAGTCTAATATTGTTTTTAATTTTTTTCCGTAAAGACAAGGAGTGAAATTAATTTTTTGATTCGGAATCCTTTTTAACAAAGCTGGTGTTTGTTGACTTGCATAAAATAAATTTCTGTTACCTTATTCAACGTATAAACCGATATCTATTCTTTTATTATTTAGTCAGAATTATTGGTATTTTGTTTACAATTTAGTTAAATGTCGAGAGAGTATCTAATAATGTTCCACCACAGCGAGTGGGTCACTTTGATCCGATCACTCGCACTGCCCTGACGGTGGACATGCTCGTACCAAACCTCGCCATCAAGGAGGTTGTCGACGTGTTTCTTGAAGAGAATGAATGGGCTCACGACTACTGAGACGTAAACCTCTAAGCCTCCTGTACTTGTAACGGAAAAGCCTCCTAAGCCTGCACTTCTGTTCTGGTAGTCGCTTTCCCTGATCTATTTAGGTCTGATACTCTAATTTATGTCTGTATGACGCCCCAGATTATTCTCGGCAGACATGACGGGAATCACACTGTTTGATTGATATACAGTGCTTGAAATTTATCTTGATACATTTTTTTTTATGCCTTGACTGTAGGATTGTGTTGGCTTCTATCATCTATTTGCAACAGGCAGCATGTAGAAGCGGTTAGATTTATGTGATGCTCAAAGATGCGCTGATAGGCAGGCCGAAGCGTTGCGTTGGTGTGATCTTCTCTATTCCCATATTTCTGCTTACCTTTTAATTAAGCATTAACATACTTAGTTTTAATTTATTAATAAACAGCGTCGTTGTCATTGCAGATTACTCGAATTTAGGATGTTGTAGTTGATAGTGCAATAACCGGGGCGCCCTAGTCGATTTTTCGTTCTATTCTGTTCAAGTCAATAAAGAATTGATCATATTTTTCTACAGATTTACCATTGTATTCTTTAAATAGGCTCTTCGTACAGCTGGAAATGTTTCACTGGTTGTTTCATGAGTGTTAACAAATTCAATCATATTATGAGCGTGCATTTATTTACTTCTTGTGTATTTTGTATATTCAGCTGTGATCTTTTCCCTATGCGTATTTTATTTGTCACAATCCACAAATCTGTGCGAATTCCGCTTGAATATGGTAATTTCAAGTAAGAGCTTTTTCTTTTGACGAGTACTTGGTTTAAGACTGAAAAATGTTTGTAACACCTTCTGATTCGCTTCAACATGGAGAGCTTAGTATTCTCATGTACTAAAAACTATATCGTTGAGCATGCACTTTGAAGAACCCTACAGTTAATGTTAATGGCAAGGTGAGCGCTAAGTTAGAATCTAATAATGCTGTGTTACTTAAATACATGTTAGATAGGTACAGTACTTAGTGAAGGTAAGTTAGCTTCGGTGTGCCGAGTTCGAGATCTTGAATGGAACTTACCTCATGTGAGTTCAGTAGACTACGTATTACGCTTATCCTGTTGAATAAACGCCGAATTAAAAGTATTTAATTTTTATTAACCTTTTTGGAAGAAAATGACTCATTTATCAACATTGTCATTTTTTGATAAAATTCAGAATGTGGTTCAAAGCGAGTGCCTGGCAAAATTTTCCAACTCGATCTAACAATTTTTAGAGCATTTTCTCATTTATGGAAAAAATGCACTATTGTGCTCGTCATGTCCGTCTGTCCGTGACCTCAAGTTTTCGTCGACGAGAAAATGCGCTCTCTCTCTGTCACTCACTGCAGTGAGTACCGAGTTATATATTTTTCTTCACATTTTACAAATTTGTTGGAAGTGGAAGGTGGCTATAAATGGAATGACATAGATACCATATTAAAAATATCTACGTAAGTCATGTCACTTATCTGCTTTAATTTAATGTGATCTCGCCTGTTGGGTAAATGAAGCAAGGTTTGGTTTTTAAACCTACGCATTAAGTCTTTTCATCTATGCAGCCCATTATCGACTGACCAACTGGAGTTACAAAGTTCAATAGCAGGAAAGACGGTAAATGTTTTCGTGTGCAAAGGGAAAAGTGATCAAATAATTCAACTTTCACCTGATGATGCTTTTATTTATTCGAATTTCTGAAAGGAGTGAATGGTCGTTGAATCGAGGTTATCAAATGCAAAGCTCCGGAGAAGGTCGCTTAATATGTAATTGGTAGAGCCTTGTACTGACTGTTCAGTACAAGGTCATTGATTGCAAGAAGGTTGTGAATAGGTTAGGCTAGAGTAGGTGCAGCCAACTGCGGAAGTGCCTGCTTAATTAAGAGTGAGCATGCTAAGTGCTAGCAGAAGACCTACGACGTTATTATCTATGAGCAGTGTGTCACTGGCCTGGATTAAAGTGGTATAGCGTATTCTGCGTAAGTTATTGCATGATGAAGCTAGGCGTTGGCTTCAGGGCGTATTTAAGAGTTAGTATTGTGGCCTACGGCTGCGCCCCCACCAGAACTATACTTTCCGCTGACTATATTAAAGAATTTTAAAGAAGAAACTTTGAAGCCTGACAGTAAGATCTAACGTATTCAAGTAACGGGAATATACCTTTTACTAGCTATATCAAATAAATTAAAAGGCAAAATACTGAACATCGTAATATTTTCAACAAATGAGGCGAACTAGCAGTCGTGGGCTCTGTAGATTGTCTGGTACCCAAACCATCGCTCCACCCGAAACCTCTGCAGGACGTCGACGATTAACCCCTCGTCGCTGGGTTGACGAATTCCCACCTACAGTCAAACAAGAATCATAATGTATAATATGCATTGCAGTTAATTAGCGTGTACATTAGGCCTAGAAGTAACTCACTCACTTAGAATTCTTCCATCGTTTAAAGTAATCCGCAACTATATATTACACGGGTAGTCGGGTGGGAGCTACGGATGAAACGAAGCATCTTATTTCAAGTGGGGATAAAACTAGTAAATATCAATGGTTAATATTGAGTTGTTGGTTTCTTTATCGCACCTTACACACTAAGATGTAATAGAAGCCAGGCGTGTCTTCCTCTGTTAAGAGCGGCCTCTCCCGGGCATAAAATGTCATTTGATGCCATTCGATACCCGCCTCGAACATGTCCAGCACCAACGCCCGGGCCCCAGTCCAGCTCTGCAAGATTATACTTCGAACTGGCAGAAGTACAATAAAGTAACCTGCTTTTTGAATCTCCAATTAAATATAACACCGTGTTCCGAGTTTCTGTGCATACGAGTTATTATGCTGTTGTGCTAAAGCCTAAAATTAACTTATCAGTGAACAATGCAAAGCCTCAAACTTCCCTAATAAAAATGTTAAAACAACTTTGAAATTACGCAATAGTTAAAAACAAAAATATAAATATTAATTTAAGAAAATATTTTTCGATTTTTTTATCAGTTTCCTTGAGCAGACCACATTAGTACTACAAAGCCATTTTCAAGATGATATACAAAAAAAAAAATCAAATATGAAGGAGAAAATTCATTTGCAAAGGCTGCCTGTCACTTTGAACTCACTTTCCAGTTTTTCTTGAGCACTCCACTGGTGTTTTTATCCACACTCCGGAATGCTGAGACAGTTATCACAGAGTCTCTGCATCGGCGTCCAGAGCACGGGGGATCGATGTGCGCGATCTCTCGGAAAACGGCTTCACGGGGCGAGAAAGAGAAAGTAAAAATTCCGACTTCCATTATACTGAATAATAACTTGAAATTTGTGAAAAGGCTTGACAAATATTCTTACTATAAAGACACAATTTGACCAGTAAATCTATTTAGTATTTTTTTCAAAATTATTAAATATCTCTATATAGATTTTTCAGGAGTAGAATCAAATTTGAGTTTAGTAAAGTGTCAAAGAAGCACAATAAACATTAACTGGTATGGCTCGTTACTCACGCAACTATGACGAACATCAGCTATCTCGAGGTGACTAAAAATAATGACATGTACAGTAGTATATCAGAGAAAAAAAAAACATAGTAGGATAACCACGTTTTTGTCATACATGCCTTGGTCAACCATATGATCATCGCCCAAGTCATAGTAATTTGCGAAATTTTCTTCTCGTTGATATCGCTCCACCACACTGCGGTCACCACACACGTGAAGCAACGGGAACAACCCTGATTATGGGACTCAGTGATCACATTTGTTTTATGGCTATAAGGCTAATATTTCTGTTCCAGAAAATGAAAGCTACTTTAGTAACTATGAATCATTATCGTCACTTTATTTTTCATTTGAAAAATAAAACTGGACACATACTATCAAAACCAACCACAAAAATAGCTCTGTATAAAAACACGTCTCCGACGAATTTACGGCCGGACCCGCGGCCGGGCTCCAGATTCAGTGTACATCGAATATCTCCCAAAGTACAGAACGTAGCTCGATGAAACTTGGTACACGTATTCATTATGGCCTGACGGTGATGTCAAGCTCGTGACAATTTTTTTTAATTTCGCCTTCATTCGTGAGTTATACCGTAAATTCTTCCGAGACGTTATAAAAACTAGTCCCTGAGCTCATGAAAAATTATACAGGTCAGGTATAAAAAAAACGGGAATGTGTTTTCTATGACACGACTGATGATCGTGATAAGGCATGCGAAATACCTTCACCTGAGTTAACTAAATGATCCCAAAAGTTATTGGACCCATTAAATCTGCGAAGCCTCTTGTTCCGTGCATAAAAATTACAATTTCATTGCAGAACTGACAACCTAACGATATCACGTTTGCACGAATCCATCGCACGTCATATGAGTTATAAATGTCATGAACGTTAATACTATGATACTTACAGTGTTTCCACAATTATTCAAAATTCGTTAGAATCCACAACTAATTGTAACTGTAAAATTAATTTGATCTAAATTGATGTTGAAAGTAAATTTGTTACATTTAGCTTTCAATGTCTGTAAAATTATTTCACTAACAAGAACAAAGTTTGCCTCTTAGAATTATTGAAAATAAAAAAAAAGTAAATTAACCTCCTTTTTGATATGTATCGAACTTTTCGCATATTTTGAAAATTTTGCCTTTGCTCGGCAAAACTGTCGTTGCTATCTCAAGTAATGTACGAAGGGACTCTCCGAAGTGTCGCACTCCTGATTGCCTTCCAATGAACGTAATAAGGACGAAATTTTCGTCATCGTCCCACGACGTCGAAGGGCCAGCGACCGCGGTGAGACTCATCACGGGCGATTTCCCCAAACGAGATGATGTGAAACTAGACTGAAGGCTGTAAACGAGAAATGTTTTTACATTGGTGACTTCCTACGACAGATGTCTCCTTAGATTTAGTAATCAAGAAAAAGAAATATACACCTCTAAAAAATCGCTCGTTCATAATTATAAAGCAACTCTTTTAGAACGATAGATCGTGACATTAAACACAAAACATTAACACCGAAACTCAAAAACTTCATAGTAGGGCCATGGATATAGAGGAAACCTGGTAAGGATTATTAACCTACGAATAACGATTATATTACTTTGTTATCACTTCTAACCGCCGGAGGAATGAGAAATTTTCCCTTGGATCAGCTTTTTTGACTCATTTTGAATCGTTTTCAGAATAAATGTTCACACAGCGTCGGCGGCTTCGATTTTGAGTAGTAACAGGACTGTCGATGGAGAAAATTTCTTCGTGGTATAACGTGTACTCATCTCCTAGCTCTTGTAGCGGTGTATCTTCTTCCTGGTCAAGTTCGTGGTCCTGATGGAAGTCATGGAACGATAGAAAGAAGAGCTTTCTCGTCTTGACAGTTCCTGACCGTGCGCTTGGAATGCTTCCGGGTTGCACGGTTTGCAGCCTGGTTTTGGGATCTTTGCCGCTTGACGATTTCGGCCATTCTTCGTGGACCGACATGTCAAACAACTTTCGTTGCATTATTCAAGTATCCATCTTAATTAAATGCCGGATTAAATGATTTGTGCCATTAATGTAATCGACATTAACGCATCACAAAAAGATTTACTTGCACATTATGCAGTTACAAAAACTTTAAAATAATATACGTTTAAAAATTACTTTTTAAAGACAACACTTCAAAAGAATCCAGTGTCTCCAATCTTAGAGATGTATAATGAATTTCTCATTTAATTTTCGAATATTAAAAAAATTATTTTTTCAATTTTTTTATATATAATTTTTTTAATATATAAATTTTTTCAAAATTATTTATTCTGTTAATTGATTCATGCATTGCTTCTGACTTCGCACAAGTGTGCAAAATTTTAGATCAATTAGACAGGTAAAAGTGTGTCAAATATCAGTTATAAGATTTGTAGCTGACAAAATTATTTTTTCAATTTTTTTAATATTGAAAAAAAAATTTCTTACTTTTTAAAATCATTTATTTTGACAATTGATTCATGCATTGTCTCCAACTTTAAACAAGTATGCAAAATTTCAGATCGATAGGATAAGTAGAAGTGTATTAAATTTCGATTACAAGATTTGTAGCAGACAGACAGACAAACAGACAGACAAACAAGAAGTGAAGTTGAAGAGAAGTGTTGTAATAAGAATTTAACGAGCAGTGGAGAATAATAGCGCCTTGATTTGGTACACACGGTCGAGAGGAATTAAATCAAGTGCCACTCTGGGCGCAAGCCAAAAAGGCTGCTAAATTTGGATATTTTGAGCACAATGAAAACCTAGTCAAGATTTACACGTAGCCGAGCCAGTTCACATGCAGGACGTCCTTGTTAGGCGTTCTGCAGAAACGTTCCACAGTGAAGTCTGGTGCGGGCATCGCCACTATTTGCACGATGAATTGAGTTTTTTGTGCATGCATGACGAATGCTACGCCACGCTCACAATTCTAAATGACAGGTATTGATACCTTCAATTCAGACCAGCATCAATTTGCCATTAGAAAACAGTTAGTATTCATATGAAATTTTCCATCTGGACGTCAAATGAATGTTAGATATTCAATAGTATGTAGTCCTATAATGAGATGACATACAAATTTTTGCCCAGAGTGAAATTGTAATTTTCCGGGCAAAGTTAGAGAACAACATTCTACAACCAGCAAATGAATAGAAAATGTATATGAAAAGACTTACTAAAGCAATAATACCAATAAACTTGATAAGCTTACGTCTTTCATGGAAAAAATGCTCGAATTTCGGATGGCACAAAATACTGGATTCATTCGTTCCTGCAGCACGAGCGGCGCCAAAGGCGGAAGGACTCTCTCTATAACTCCAAGCACGCAACATCGACCGTTCGATCCCTGGGCTAGCCTCGCTGTCTGCGCACGAAATAGCTCTAGCCCAACATGCCGCATTTGAAGAAAACATTCTCTAATATTTGGAGTCGTAATCTATAGAACTACCATTGAAGAGATTGAATTCCTCACCACTGTTCTTTATATATGTCAAATTGTCTGAACAATACGACAAAAAGGTAATTCAAAGTATATTCGCACGTAATTACATACATTTTCTGCACAGGGGCATAACTTTAATGACATGTCATTTCATGACATTACCTTGAAGAGAATGCCGTAACTGCTATTGTTTTTACATTGTAATTAACTGGCAGTGTGAGCTGTTGATGTGAATTCTATCCAGTTGGGGCTATTGATGTGAATTTTATGTTCATAAACGATATTATAGTAGGTTCAACTTCTCCCTTGAGGCTAATAACGTGTGTATAGACGAAGATGAAATATTATTGCCGAGACACCAGTTTAGCTCAAACTGTCAAGTTTAAATTTTTTGTACTAACGGTAGGGAAAATGCGTTGCTCCATATAATATGTAAATATAAAATCGGAAAGTTACAACAAACTTTCTTACCTTAGGCAGTTGAAGCGATCCAATAAATAATGCTCTACCTTAAATTATAATTCAATGTAACATTTGTATTGACGAAATTTGTGATCAGTCCAAAGTTTAATTGAATAAGCTGTCGTACATTAAACGATTCAACTACCGTACGTCCCCTTTGTAGCGCAGGTCACTGTTTCTCCTGTAAAAAGCTCAGACGAGTGACTTTTAACAATGAAATCGAAGGAAGCACTTGTTCTAAGCACAGTGAAGCACTTGTTCTAATAATTTCTTTATGAAGTTTAGTTTGTATACATTACATATTTAAATCTTTTTACCGAAGCCTCCGTCGTCGCCCTTCGACCGATCAATGTTAACACAGCAACCTACGCAGCCGACACTTCGCTGGCCAGACAGCAACTGGTAGTTAGGCTAACTGTAATATGTATGTAACATGCAGTACAAGTTGCCATTCGGTCTTGAAGGTATTCTGAATATTACACTTTTTCCTAATTTATTAGGTTTACAGAACCAAGTTTGATTTTATGCGTTCTTAGTTATCGCCTTATGAACAAAAGTCATATGGATCCAAAAAAGCCAGTAAAAACAGTAAATTCGTGATAATGGTAAGCCGGTGACTGACTTTAGTCAATGCCGATGGCTACCACAGCCCTGGATGTCACAATAACGATTATTAATATTAGCAGGATTCAACGTTACTAAATAGGGACGAGATATTCCCTTGATTATTCATCTGCGTGAAAACCTTCCGCACGTTTCTACGACAATTTGAAAAATCGAAAAAAGTGTTCTGATGTATGCGTGAATGTATCCACTATTTTTAACAGAATCACAGCTCTTGCGCTTAGAAATTTTGAATTTGTTTTAAAGTTGATACATAATAATTAACGAATGTAAACATTGTGTCCGCTATGATACCGTTAATATTCTGCATGACAGAATATTTGAATAGAAAACGAAATCGTTTACATTGAGTTTCTTTTCATCAAAAACTGGAAAAAATCTCAATTTGAACATTTACGTAATTGGTATGATATGTATTACAGTCAGAAGAGGTTTAAAAACTAGAAACGCACATGTAAAGTGGCAAAGTTTATTAATTTTTCAGCAGTTGCAATTACAATTGCATTTCATTCTAGTGACATGCAATAGTATTTCATTTCATTCCAGTTTCATTGAGAATGTGTTCATCTCGGCAAACACGTCCAAGAAAAATTTAATGTTTTCAAACTTCATGTACTTATGAATTTTAAGTGAAAATTAAGGTAGGCATAAAATATCTGATGGCGCAGAAAATTGTTAGACAGCCTGGACAAATTAACAGCACATAAAAAAATTCCATTTGAGAGTAAATCTAGCCCACTTCATTGTGTCCTTTTGAGGTTCTCAATCTAAGATACCTACTTTATGAGTACGGAGAGAGAGTAGAATGATTCGTAATTAATCTAACACGACGGGAGATTTGCAAGTAAAGTATATTTACATCAACACTGTACACTTAACAAATAAATATATCAACTACGGAATTAACTAATCATCGTCATCATTATTGGATTGCGTGGTTGTGGAAAGCCTAGCTCGAACACGACTGATTTCCTCGTTCAATTTTTTTAGTTTCTTCTCTGCGTCGCGAGTAGCAGAAGTATCAGATTTTTCAGAGCTTCCGCTGCCTTTTGCTTTCTTGTTTGACATTTCTAGCATCTCATTGATGAGATTCGTGTCAAGGACAGGTTCAGGTTGGGGCAGCGTGACGGATGATTGGAGGTCTGTTTTTGTCCCCATCAAGACAATTTTTGGTTGTGGATTACTGATTTCAACTGCCGGTCTAGTATCGTCTCTGACGTCACTCAAAGGCGTATCCATGATAGGTTTCGGTCTTGGAGACCCAGAATTTAGTCCATGCTGGAACCTCGGGAAAGAGAACGGAGGAACGTATCCCCGCATGATGGAATGCTTGAAGAATGAACTCTCGCGCACCAAGTCTTTAATAGATCCAGGCTGTTGGCCGAGAGGACGTCTAACCGCCAGCCAAGGGTTGAAAGTGGCAGGAGAGGGGCGTTGGTTCTGAGAATTCCCGCTGCCGGGGTGACTGGATTGCCCGTAGTTGACGGTATACTGGAAAACCTGACGGCACATGCCGCGTAAATCCTGGATGTGACCAGATGGGCATCCGCTAATAGAAATTATCGAAGGATCTGCGAACAATGGAATACATTACAAAACAATATCAGTCAAGAAGAAAATGAAAGTTGATACCCAAGTCGTTCTAATCTGTCAATTTCATTCATATTTCTGCAGGTGCAAACGAGTCACTTGTTACAGCCTCGTAAAATCATCCAAATAAATTTACGAAGATGCATGGTAAATAATGATGGTCGCTTTCACTAGCCACTTGTCTTTTTCTAAATAAATCACCGTGAAAAACTGAGAAAAGTCAATGGTTAAAAATGTTCTTTCACACAAAAATAAGTTTCGAGTTCTTACGTCTCGTAACCAGGGATGAGGGGACAGCTTCTGACATGAAGAAGGGCTGGTGCATGTCAGGCAACACGGAGTTCCGTCTCCGATCTTTTAACTCTCGTCGGGATCGCCCTTGTGAAGGATCGTCTGTGAACAAATCAAGGTGAACTTAAACAATATCATTATAGAATTAAGGATAAATTGTTCACCGATGATATTTCGAACAAAATAACTCCGCAGTGAGATGACAATCTTGCACATCTAACGATGTGGCAAGATTTTTCATTCAAAAATAGGACCAGAAAAAAGCTGCTAGAAACATTTAACTGACCAAACAATGACTACAGTTACAATAAATCAATTATTTCGGGCTTATGATACCAAAGGTGCAGACCGCACATCATTATTTTGCTAATTATATCTAGTTTGCGATAACTACATTTTGAATTGTTTTGGAATCTTGTGATTGTTTCGTATCTTTAAAGTCGTTGCTAACGTCGAACCGATTGAATATAATCTAGAAGCTGCTTAGAGAAATAGGATATAATGGTCACGTCGTTGGTTTTTTATCTTCTCTGCTGTTCGGCTGCCAAAACCTGAAACTGTTCTCATTATACAGGGAAGCTATATATTAAGGCACAATTTCAGAAATGATGGCCAAAACTTTAAATGGGAAAACCTACTGTTAAATTAAAATGAAAGTAGATTTTAAATTGCGTTTTTTCCGCCTTTCTGCTTCATTCATGCCAACACAGTCTACATCTACCTTGTATCGTCCATGGACGAAACTTAGAAGATATAGTATTACCTCACGAGCCACAGACTGTTACAGAAAGCGAGTCAGGGTACGTTTGATTACCTTGATTGTTGGTGGCGATCCTCGGTAGTGTTTCTATGAGTTACGGTATTACTTAGTTATATCATGGTTACTGGAAATAAGAAAAGTTCTAGGGAACCTGTTGTTTCTATGCAACAGACTGTTGTTAACTGCCGCGCAGTTTCTTTTAAAAAATTGAAACTAACAACTGAGGTTGGAATACAAGACACTAATAGCAGCAGAGATAAGGTATCAAAATGATATCTTATTTTAAACAACTATTCCTACTCCAAGTTAAGAACGATCAGTTGGACAACTTGGTAATGTTCTCTCAAAAAGAGACGGACCCTTAAGCGGGAAGAATACGGCATGTAGGCCGTAGGGTCGTAGGTTGGCAATACCCCGACTGCAAGTAATATTTAAGAGTGACATCGTGTCTCAATTAGTTTATCGAGACACGGACAGTTTATTAATACCCGCATGAATAGGACTGTGACGATACATGTATGCGATGATACCTATTCTTACTAATATGTCCCAACAGGTCATTCAGCAAAGGCAATGAAATGATGATGGCTATATTTGTGCACACCGTTTTTTTTCTCGTTTTAGTCACCCGTCAAGCTAACCTCGATATTCAAGTCTAATAGCTCTCGATTGCTTTCTTCCAGGACACAAAAAAGAAATGCTAGCTGAAACGTCCAAATTGAACTCTCCGATTTTAATTCAACACTGTTTTAATTCAACATTCAACAAGTGCCTATAACACAAGTAAAAAATCAAGTGAATGATATAGAATAAACCTTGAAGAGACTGGCATGAAGGTCAAATTTTGACTGCCTGATATTATAAAATATTTCAAACGGGACATCATTCAGCAAATCAACAGCTCACTCGCCTGAGTGTGGTCAAAGAAATTCATCAGCAGCAGCAATATCACTGACACAGAGGCCTGAAGACATTTAAAAGATGGACATTGAATTTTTATTAATATTTAACTTCTTCAAATTTATTATATTTCGTAGATAAATTTAAATAGGCCTAACTTTAAACTTATAACTTTAAATAATAAATTCAAGCAAATTACCCATTAATGCACCTGTGATCAAGTTTCTACCTAAAAAGCGTATCTTACGCATTTCCTTGTAGTAAGTAAGGTATCGGCATTTCAATAATCAACGTATCTGTGGGCGAATGAAATTTCTAATCACAGAGATCGCAACTTACCTTTTTTACGCATACCATACATCATCATTTAGTAGCCTATGATTTGCATTTTCCTTCTTAAGCATCCACCCCCACACATGCTTGCCTATTTTTCCACCCGAGCTCACCCCCACACACCATCAGCGTGGTGACTTGCGTCACACTGACCTGCTAGCGAGTTGCCGAGCACTTCCTGCTCCCGCGTTCCCAGCTCTTCCAACTTGCTGGTGTCTGCTGGACTCGATGGCACGGCATCGCCAAAGTTCAATGAGGCTGTTGCCAAGTTAACGTTTTGTTGTTCTTTTTCTACTTCAAAATCTGTGATGACTCCTTCCTCAACACCTGTAGCAAAGTTATCACTACACTCCATGGCTACGAGAACATCCTTCAGCGATGAGTTAAGATTATCGCCGCTGAAAGACGACGTGACAAGGTCATGAACGTTCGAGTTCGTGGTCGGCGTGATGCCGGATGCCAAAGCAATGGCTTGGATTAGGTTGTACCAGAACGGAGTAGCATCATAGTTTTCCGTAAGATCACTACTCATCCAATTGAGAATCTTCCCAGGCTCCTGTGATGCAATCGCCAGCTCTTCAATAAGATTTTTTCCATGAGCCCAATCGTTCTTTCTAAGAGAAGCACAAGAGTTCTCCCTCAGCTTAGAATTAGATAGAGATACACAGACGACTAGAGTTAAAAACAAGTAGAGTCCCACAAGGACCCAAGACGAACCAGCAACTTTCATTTTGACAAGTTAACATAAATCTGGAAATTTGACGTAAGCACGTAATAAAATAAGACATGGTATTTGTTTTCGTTATAATAACATAAAACAGAAATGTTTCGGTAAATAACACTGTTATTTCGATGCAAATTATTTCAAGTTTATAGTCTCACAAAACTGCTGCTTATTACCTTCGTTCATATTTAACTCACTCCGCACTGCTTTACTTTGATTCCAGTCAGCATTATTCGTAGTGCCAGACCTCATTTCTGACGTTCAGTCTCTTATTCTGTTTTCCCATGTTCTCTTACCGAGTTTCAGAATTCTACAAACTGTACCGTGTTTGCGTTCAGTGAACAAATAAAGTGATAATCAATTGCCTCCCCTTCCGGCAGAGAAGGGAAACCTAGGGACCTTCACTCGCTATTGGTCTGCCCGTGTGACTGCTGCACCGTTGCCAAAGGCTGCTTCGTTCAAACACGACCTCGAAATCCAGGTGGGTATAGCAGATGTTTTCTCTTTGTTTCGAGACATCATTGATAAGATGATCCGTGAATTAAGAAGATCTATTTTATTGGAGTATACACTCTAATGAACATCTGATGGTTTATAAACGAAAAGTTGTTTTGCAACGAGGAAGCTACTAAATATGCAAAGTCTGATGAATTGCACTGTACAGAGAAAGGTTACTCAAACTAATGTTCTAAAAGGAAAGTGAAATTTCGATAGAATTTTCGTCTTCTATATCATATTTAATTGTCCTAATATTTTTGGCTTTTGAAAGTGCTGAAATAAGTTTATAAATACCAAGATTAATCTCGAACACCAAGCAATATTATCATTTGATTGCTGATTACATTGCGCTGCTTTCTTAACTGGAATTTTAATTTTTTTATTTTATGTTAGCAATGTTTATTTAAGAAATCACTTTGAAATTTGAATCCAATATTCTCCAGTTACAGATAATAAACACAAGGCGGTACTATATTGCATAATGAATATCTTGCAACTTGCAAGCCTTTCTAAAAAGAACGAAGAACGATAATTTCATAACAATAGCTAAACTTTTTATTCAAAGACATATACCGCATACTGGTTTCTCTTCAAGCATCTTCTTCAGTTCGTTCATCAGATTGGCGTCATAACAGATCGAACATCGGCTAAAATCAACTAATCATTTACCTTTTCCCCGTACCTAGTGATTAGGTTGAGCAAAAAAGCACCTATACGTAGTAGACCCATTAACGGGACAAGGACGTTTCTTACAGTTTTGCGTCATAGAACTCGTTTGCAGTTGCCAACTCTATCCCATAAAATTACGATCAAATTATATCACGCAGACGCCGCAAGATCAAACCTCAAAACATAAGGAGTAGCAGCAACATCTTTTTAAATTCATGTAACGAGAGAACAGAACAAAAATTTTCGATCGAATTCCATAGCTTACAACAATGGAATGCGGAATATGAGAATTGCTTAACAAAGAATAAATTTTTTAAGTACCATGAAGAATGCAGTAACGTGCAGTTAATGTTTTAAAGCCGTAACTCCTTGATCGCGAACATTTCCGTCTTTGATGCAAGAGATACAACAAAATTTAATTCAACTCAAGGTATTTAAAACGGTTGGGCGTGGTGAATGCGATCCACCATGCGTTAAATCTGCGAGGGTTGCGCATTTTAGGACCAAAGTAAGCTCGACAACTAAAACGGCTTACCACATCATGACATTTACAACACAGATTCAGCATACAGTACTATTGCAATGTGTGTGTAATCGTCCAATTCACTAAGCAAAGAACCCTGATGGATTTCTTCGCTGCGGGTGTTTTATCTCGTCACCTAATCAAGAGCTCGTTTTTTGAAAAAGGGCGGGGCAGGAGCGAAGCTCCGTTACTCATTAACAACTCAGCCTCCCCCTCCAGGCTTAGACTTTTTACGACTCTTTGAGTGCCGACTGTGCATGCAATTTTTATGTTATAATAATGATAATGATAGCCTTCTGCTGCGCCAGAATAAGTGGTTGTACGAGCTCCCAGAATAGTCATTTGTCTCGTATGAGGAGATGGAACGAACGTTTCCCAAAGGACACAAATTTACAGTAAAGCTGCGAGCGATACAAAAAATATCCAGTGAAATTACGCAAGACATGAGAGGAACGGAGTACCGAACGAGATCTCAGCCCTACCAGACGCTATAATTGGATAAATGGTATTCATTGCGTGTTCATATAAATGGTTCACAATGACGTAGAGACTAGAGAGGGAGAGGTAACGTCCATCGGGAGGGAAGGTAACGGGCGTCGATCAGGTACGCCGAAATATCAAGGGACGCGTAATTTAACGGTAGAGGTAATTTGTTATAATAATAAAATAATATTCATAGACAAAGCAATAGAATCAACCAAAACTATTAAGATTCCACAAAATTAGAAGACAAACGAGAATTCACTCATTGATAAGAGAATATTTTCTTTTTGCAGATGCGCCTAACGTCAATTTTTCTTCCCTAAAAAAAGGAAAAATTACTACTGACGAGAACCATAATATTTTGTCAGAAGTTGGTTTACAATGAATAAAGATTAGTGAATCTACAATTCAGTGTTCCGAACGAATTTCGATCAATTATAGAGGGATTTTCACCTAAGAAATTTTGCTCCGCAGCAAAGAAAAGTATGCCAAAATGCAAATTCAAAAGCACATTCGAAGCATCTCTTAAGTCAGTCCCTAGTAAGAAGATAACTCCAACTTTGGAGCCGCAGCTTATCGAGTGTCAACTAGAAGGAAGTTCCATCTGGCGAGCGCGACGAAGTTCTAATGAGGAAGAGGAAAGTGAGAGCGTATGAATCCTGAGCAAAGAATCTGTCGCAACGTTCAAGCTATGCGAGGGAGATGTTCGTCAATGCCTATGCCCTTTGTCAGCACGATAAACTTAGACGCTAATTAGCATGAACTATTGCAACACTACACTAACTTCAAGTGGATGGGGATAGTAAAAAAGAGAAAAGTGCTTCGATTCGTTATTAAATGAAGTAGTTCAACGCATACACATAACAGTATTTGCGTTTCTGTTCAAGGTTGCACAAGATGTGGCACGGCAAGCAGACTAGGATGGTGCTACGTGCCGCGTGCTGTGACGCTGGCTGGCACTTGCGATTGTTTTGATTACGATTTGAATTTTGAAATGGGTAAGCAAGCTTAGAGCACGGATTGGTATCATGATAAAGATCAGGGAAAACATGAAGTGTGCTTTATGTAAAAAGCGTTACAAAATGGTAAATTGATCATTCAAGACTTCAAATGACATACTTTTCAATTTCAATGTATGACACATAATTTTTTGATATTAGTGTGCGGTATGACTTGCGTAACGTGTTTGGAACGACAAAAAGTCAGTCAAAATGGAAACTTATTAATGATTAACATAAAGCATTTTTTCGACTTACTTGCTAGGTACTTTTCAATTTGACTTTAAAATATGCAGTACCTAAATACCTTACGCAGCACCTAGTTTCCGGTACCATGACGTCAATATCTGAAACAAGATGACGTACCACATAGACCTATCATGGCCGCGTCTGGACAGTTTCCAGTGGCCTTTCGACACTGAAAGCTGACCAACGACCACAAGAGTTCGGCCTATTGACCTATTGCCTCCAAGCAATGAATTGTGCAGGAACATAAATCCATTAATTAAAATTCGATTAAGATTGAGAATTTTCTTTAAAAAGGTTAAGGGATTAATAGATAAGGTTTGTGATTCGGTAATGCCAAATATAAATTACTTGGAGAAAAATCATAACAAGAATGAAACAATAGTTTTGGCTCACGAAAAACAGGAAGCCATGTCGAGTTTAAGATGAGAAATGGAATCAGGCAACTTGCAAGCAGTACTTGCACATGAAATTATAAAAGGTAAGTAAAGATTTTCGTGTGAATAACCTCATTGGCAGTCAACGACTTTTCAAGATCAACCGATTCAAGGTCAACGTCTTCTAACAACAGACCTCACTCCTCAGCGCTCAAAGACCGTGGTCAATTTCCATTCGCAGCTCATGTCTTTTCAAAAATAAAATACTATTCCACAATCATGAGCATAATTAAATAAAGTTGTGGAGCATGCGCATTTTTGCAACTATTCATTATTTCATTCAAGTCTACGAGTGATTACACGTCCTAACTTGATATATAAGTTGGTTGTGTTATTCCTTCCTGAGTACACCACAAGCATCAAAGGAACAAGGACGAAGCTTCTTTTATATTTCCCCTAAAATGTTTGCCGCTGCACGGCATTTCCGTATTGATTACGAAAGACTCTTCAGTCGATGTTAGAAATGCTTGACGATTAGGAGTATCATGACAATGAACTTTATTTTAGAGCCAACGTGAAAGGTTGAAATAAATGCTTCCTTGCCAGTGTCTAGAGTTTAAGTGTGAAGTTTCTTTAGCATTGTAACCTCAATTGTATTTTAAAATTTATGGAGTTTCGCCTGTTTCGGCACACTTGAATAACGAATAATATGAACTTATGAAAGTTTAACGTGGCATATTGGGACTCAAGCGGAAGTTTTTCAAGATAAATATTGCTAATTTTTTTAAACTCACGGAAATTATTAAAAACCGTCAAATAATGCCGGCGGAAATGTAAAACACATGATATACCATAGCTATGCACAATCATTTTCCTGCATCACTATTCAGACAAGCATTAATTATACGAATTTCGTGGATAAATAGTTTAACCCGTACTGCGTTGAAGTATTTTTCTAACTCAAAACTGATTACACCAAAATATACCTGGAAAACAGAAGTATATGGGCTAAAAATTATGCTGAAATTACTCGTAAAACTATTAAATTTGATCGTGAAACAAGAATCATAAATGTCACCGTATAACAATGGCAACAACAAGTGTGCGTGGGATAGCTTCTATCGAAGCATCTTACTACACCTCACCCTACACCGTCAGAACCATGACTAACGTTCGGAAGCGTGCAAGAGTAAGCGTATCGTGCTCACAGAGCGTCAGTGAGTCACTC